ATTATTGGGCCAGTAATGAGGTGGGTAGTTGGCCAGTCATGCTTGAGGGGCAAGTGTCTGATTTTGCCACCCGAACAGTGATGTCATGGGGATATACCCCTTTTTGTTGAGTTCGACTAATAAATATTCTTCCACTGCCAACTCTTCCAACTGCTTCCGGATTCAACAGGGAGGATGCGCATTGCCTAATTACACAGGCTGGACGACGCGCGTTACAGAGCTTACAGCGCGTCGACGCGCGTCATCGCGAAATCTAAACGCTCGAAGGCAGGGGAGTCCGTGCCATGAGGGAGGTGCTCCAACTCGTTCGTCCCTTTACTTACCTTTATGATGCTCTGGTCCTCCACAATCGGAAACGTGATATCATAACCGGTTGAAAGCACGACCTAAATTTGAAGTTTATTAGTAATCGTGAACAACAGTTACTTCAAAAAATCAGGCTAAAAACCCCACATAGTCAATATCCGTGGCTTTGCTGCCATCGATAAAGTGGACGTCGTGCTCTGTGAACCGCTGGATATTTGGTTTTACGACGACTGTTCCACTGGCTATGCGCATCGGCAGTTCATCGTTTTGGGTTGGGTGTGCACTGGAAATGTTTCTGCATTGAAAGGAACTGTTGCTCTGCCAAGTACATCGCCATGACATACATTGCCAAGCTACATCACCTCAAGTCAGGTAGGGAAAAAAGACGTATGCATGAAAACTGCTGCAAAACTGACCCGAACAAATCGTGTTTAGGCTGAAGACCGTAGGCAGCATGATCGAAACGGGCGTTGATCGCCCTTTGCATGAACCATGCCTGTATCGCTCGCGGTATATAGCGGCGTACGGATTTATTGAACCTCGTGGACTAAATGGACTTAGGGTATACGAGGAAAAATTATCGCGAAAAATTAGGGTTACCAACCACGCAGACATCCAATGGCATTCCACGCGTATGCAGGCGATTCAGTATCCAAGCGCCACGACGAGTAGAGAGGTAGACCTGAGGAATGTCGAGAACTTCTCGCTCAAATCAATATTTGGCACGGTCCACGGACCTATGGACCGTCTATGAAATTCTCTACGTGAACTACCAAAAAAATTTCTGAAAAATCTTCCACTTTTATTTTGAAGGACCCTGTGTAGGACTAGCAAGCGGGGCATGTCGTTCATCCAGGACGTGCTGCGAGAAGGACGTAGTTGGTCGATGGAGGAAGTGAAAGTCATACCTGCTGGTTTCTTTCCTTTTCACTAATGCTATACATTTCCCCGCTCCCCCTACCCCTCCACATCCCCTTTATGCCAACTCCGCCCGACAGCAGCTCTCGGAGGGGAAACGAATAATTTCTCAAGAAAAGCGGTGGAACTTTAGGCAAAACTCGGGGAGATGGTAGGTAGATGGGGGATGGGGAAAGGGGGAGGTCATGCCAGAGAAGGAGGCTCCCAGAGGGGATTGTGTTTTGCAAATTTTCCCCAGCGGTGGGACGTGCCCTGTTCGCAACAGAAATGAGGAATGAGCTCCTGCGTAATGAGGCATTTAAATGCCTCCTGTCGAATTTATCAACGTCAAACTTCATTATTTATAGAAAAGAAAGAGTTGGGGGAGGCAAAACTGAACATCTGGGGATGCACCGAACAGACCCCAATCCGCACCAATTAGCAAATTAGAAAACCAATTAGTAAATTAGAAAAAAGGATTTTTGGGCAGATTCGATGATTTTTCATGAGCTCCCCTCTGTTTGTATGATCTACCCATGAGAAAGGGAGGGGGAACCAATAGCGAAACGCTAATTCTGAAACTGGGCGCAGTTCGGCGACCGAGGGGGGGGGGGGGTTGTACTTCTGCTATTTCCCACTGAGGTGGGGGTGGTGGGCAGGGTTGCACTTTCGCTACTTCCCATCGACGTGTGCGACCTAATCTAGACAACCTCTTCTCGACTCAAGGTTTATAAACATGATGGCTTAGACCGACTTGCTCCAGGGCTTCACAAGAGTTCACAGTTTCGCCAGAAGTTAGACTTGTGAACACGGAAAAACCTAAAACCAAGGAAGCACATGATAGGAAAATGCCCCCCCCCTCTACCGCGTCACCGATCTGCGTCTTAAACGTGCTTGGTTCTGCCCAATACACTTTACCTGTTCCGATACTCGACTAAGTTCGACGGCAATGTCACCACCGGAATTCCCAATACCAACGGTGACAACACGTTTGTCTTCATAATCTGAAAATGAAAAGTTCAAAAATTGGCTGCGGCTGGATTGAACTGCAGTCATGATCTCTGCAAACGGAACGGCGTGTGAGGAAGAGTGGAGTGCAACGCCGAGGCGACCTTTTCCCCTAGTGATGTAATCTTGAGCCCTCGAACCCGTGCAAAAAAAAGTCCTGGCTCCATTCCACGTCCCACCACACCCTCTTTTTTTACAGTGCTGATGACTGCACCTAGAGTTTTCAGTATTTGCGAAACTACTCTAAGAGTGCACGTCCACGAGATGTATAGTCGTTATCACTGAAACCAGTCAGGGCGTGTCAGCGGAGCGGGGGCGCCAGCCGGTTTCACTGTGATATTTGCAGTTTCATGCGTTCGATGAGTGGTGTGAAAGAGGTTGGCGCAGAGCCAAAACTGACGCGCCGTGACCAAATCGCGACATACTTTAGTGATAAGGACTAGGATCTCTAATTGATGCTAAAGGTGAGTCTGAAGAGAGAGAGAGAGAGAGAGAGAGAGAGAGAGAGAGAGAGAGAGAGATAGTGAACATACCTGTTGGTTCTTTATAGTCGTGTGCATGGATGATGCGACCCTTGAAGATCTCTTGACCAGGCCATTTGGCCGGCCAGTGGGGAACTTTGTGATGACCAGTACATAAAAGAACCCCGTGAAACTCGTCGCTGTGTTTTTCACCATTGCTAAATGATTAAAAAATACTCCGGACCGTCAACTTTGGTAGGTTTTTAGAAGGAAATGAAGAATATTCACTCGATCAGGTCGAAAATTGGATACTACATGCCCCTTCACCCCTTGAGACGCTACCATAATGTAGCGATGGCAAAAGAAAATTGTAGAGGTGAACAGAGCGCGTGGGCGGAGCTAGCCTATTGTCGCTGAATAGTGGCACTCTTATCAAGCACTTTCGCGTCGAGAGTGGGACATGCTTTAGCGATTTAGCGACCTGTGATGATGTTTCAATGAGCTCTATTGATTAATACATTCCGAACCGCGTGACACACATGGTGTGTCACACTTGTCTGCTCCCTGTGGCCGCGTGACACACATGGTGTGTCACGATCTTCAGAAGCTAAAATTTTCCTATGTTTTGACTGTTGCGCAAACTCTCTGAGTTGTTATAAATCCCTGTAAGGGTACGAATTCGCGTATATGGTTGGGCCATGAAAAGCTCCGATAACTTATTTGTAAGACATTTTTTAAAGTGTACCAATTCATAAAACCATCATGCTCTAGAAATGCATCGCACATAGAACAATTTGCTGATAGACTGATCTACTGAGGCCATTCAGTGTCCCGATCATGATTATGGCACACTCTTATAGCGTCCGCTCCATTTGGCGCCAGTGGGCGCCAGTTTGGCGCCGCGGCCTTTTTCACCATATCCAATTGAGGAAACATGCGTTTGAGGGATGATCAAGGATTCCGATCACAAAATTGACATTCGTTTGTGAAGCTGGCGCCATTTGGCGCGTTTGGTGCAAGTTTGGCGTCACGACATCTTTCAGATTGTAGAAGATAAGTTCTTGTTAGGACGCTGTTTTAATAATGAGTGGTGAAGAGGACCATTTGTCTTGTCAGAACGTTTCTCCATGCAGCGAATTTTTGAAGCTGAAGCTGAAGTTTTGTTATTTTAGCACGTGCTTCACAATAAATCCTTTCACATTTCACATATCAATGAAAATACCAAATGAAAACCTATGTGATATTTGTGAAAACGTTGCAAACTGGCGCTTGGTGGCGCCAAATGGCGCCAGCGCCAAAAACGAATGCCATATTCGTTGGGAAGGATCGTGGCTCCAAGTGGGCGATCGGCGGCGCCAAATGGGAGCAAGGAGCCAAATGAATGTCATTTATCGTGATTGGGATGTAGAGAACCCTATGTGCAATTTTCCAGGGTAAAATAATCAGTGACAAAAAATCGCGTCTGAAACCTGCCCCGTGTGGCCGCATGACACACCATGTGTGTCACGCCAGCCTCGCATTGAAAAAGTCCGCGGTCACACGTGAACGCCACGCGAAATAGGCGTCGGTCCGGAACGTGCTAATGTAACGCTGAAGGGGCGATGTAAGGCGAGCACAAAAATCTCCGTTCAGACTTTGCAAAGACGCGCGGCATCGCAAAGTCTGAACCCAGCCTAAGCCGACACTGCAGGTTGAACCGACACGCTGTTTCAGCCTTCTTGATGCTATGCCGTATGCTTGAGTTCCTGGCTATTCAACAGATGTTCGCCTGGCCTCTTGATACTCGACAGGAGCGAGACTGGATATAGAAGCCGAGGAAGAGCTACTGAAATGCTGAACAAAGCGGGAGGAGGAGCCAGAAAAGAACCCACGGACCTATCACATTGGAAAAATAAGCGCAGTCCAGCGCGGTGGGAGCACCAAATGGCACTTGACGAATTTCCTGCAGGCCACTTTGTGAGAACCTGTAAATCGCTGTAGCCAAACTGGCTCACTCGAAGCATTTCGCGGCTTCACAGGATTCACATTCTTGACGTTGACGACTTTGTGATGAAATTTGATGTACTTGTGTAGGTCATAGTGTTGAGCGTATTGTTGGAAATACTAAAGTCGAAAAGTTAATTTGATAAAACAACAAAAGGGGGGGGGGTAATAACCTGAGGGGGACACCTGTAAGCACTTGTCACCATACCAAATCCTATAAATTGTATACGCGCGAATACAGGACAACTTTATCAACACTCTGTAGGACTTGTTATCACCTGTCAAAGACTTGTTAAACTCCTGTCAGACTTGTCAACACAACTGGTCAAGGTTTGAGAAAAAAATGGAGAAATGACCTTCCAATCTCGACGGTACCATTTCGCCAAGCTTCACAGGAGTTTACAAGGGACTTGACAGGAATTTACAAGACTAGCAGGGTGAGATGCGGTTCTAAAAAGGCAACGTCACACAGCTCACACGTATGCCCTTCCCGAGGCTATTAACGCCCAAGAAGGGTACACCTTCATGTGACATAGCAGCACCAAGGTACAGCATCGTTGGAGGACCACCATCAGGGGGGGGAGTATCGACACCGCCATTTCACTCGCTACGATTCTTTACCCTGGCATGGCATGGTGACGACATGGCGGCATCTGCGACTCTCCTTTCCTCAGCACTACTCTGCGGTCGGAAATCTCCTACTGAAATTACTCTCTATATCACGAAGATGGGGTGGGCGTGGTCGCATGCGTCAGTTGAATGTAGCGGTTGAATGTAGTGGTCTCTGGTGAAATTTGCTATTATGGGCAGTTGTAATCGTGCCAGTGCAAGATTGGATGAACGCTGTTTCAAACGGAATACACCGCGAAAACGGGTCTTGTGCCACGTTTAAGTGAAGTACGCGGCCACGCCCTCCTCATTTCTGAGATATGGAGCGTCAGGGCGACTGACACAGCGATCAGCGTGGCTCACAGTACCCCCGCGGTCCGAATACTGGCTCTTACAATTCACATGATCCAAAGGGCAACCAAAAATCGATTTCACGTGTCAGTGCAACATGCGGCACTACCCCAGAGACAGCCACGATAAGGACAAAGGGAAGATAAGCGAAGAACCGTCGCGTCAGTTAGTTGATATAGAGGGAAACGTCAAGAGCGATGCAGCGAGCGAATGAGGCGACGGTGGCGGCTGGCACAGGTAGGCGGAAACTCGCGGTCCTAGCGGCGACGGGGTACCCCCGCGGTCCGAATACTGGCTCTTACAATTCACATGATCCAAAGGGCAACCAAAAATCGATTTCACGTGTCAGTGCAACATGCGGCACTACCCAGACAGCCACGCCCTCCTCATCTCTGGGGAATGCAAAGACTGCGGGGAAATCGTTCCTTTTTAGTAGCATCAAGCCCCTGTTGATTCCAGCTCATACCTCAAGCAATTTCCGATTATGCATGTAATTAGCGACTTCCGGTTTCGGCGGAAAATCGCTGTAAGCGCTCATTTCCTTTGACGAATTGATCACCGTTGATTTCATCACTGATGCTTCTGAAACAGTCAAGAGAATGTTTTCTAATTCATCCCTTCCTACCTTTCATCTCACCTTCACTATCCTGTGGCTTGTAATTCCACAAGCCACCCACCTCGCCGGACATCTCAAACACAACTGGCTCAAAACCATATAGAACGGCATGCCTAAAGGTGCGAATATAGATTTTTTTTCAAGCCTCTCGGATGTGCTTTCTACGGCGCCGTTCGGCTTAGGAGGAGCATTTTGCAATTCCGTTGGGTCTCCTTCTCTAGTTCCTATTGAACTACATGCCACACCTTGGCAAGACCTGTAGACTCTTGTCAAGTGTCAAAAAATTGCTACTGCTGTAGTTTGTAGTTTTACAGGAGTTTATAGGTTTCACAAGAGGCGTTGGTAGTGGTCCATGAAATGCTCCCACCAAGCCGAACTGCACCACTTCCTACTGATCTCCACATTTCAACTAACAAACCTTGCCGAAGGAAGACCACTCGGTCCTGCCCCAACGATTGCCACACGTTTCATTCGGGCTGCCAGTAAAGGTTTAGGTTACCCTATAAAATGTTGAAGTTGGCGAAGAGAGCACAGTGATCCTCGAGGACCAGTTGCCGATTCTTCCAGCCCCTTGATTCAGGGGGAAACAAATAAGAAAAGGAAATTTTCAGTCACAGTTCTCTACGCAGAAGGGGGTGTCAGGCGGGATTAGTTTGGCGCGGTGCCAGACTCGTTCTCCACCAGTTGTTGAAGCGAGCAAGCGACAAGACTGTATCATATCGTTCGTATCAGTCGTTTTTCACCACCTGTTGTCGCTTACCCGCTTCAACAACTGGTAAAGAACGGGCTTGGGCCCCTCCAAACTCCTCCCGCCTGACACGCCCCTTCATCTGCAGCGAACAAGACTGTACTTGGGAGGAAGTCATAAACCATCGAAATCATCAAAAAAACTTTCAGTCTGAGTGGTTATCACTCGATTCCATTGGATGACTTATTACATGAGCATAAGCATGTCATGTGGATCCTGAAGACAACATCAAATGATAAAACGTGATAACCGATGATAAAACGTGGTCAAAAGCAATAAGATTTCAAAGAGGGTGGGAAATATCATATAATATCAGTTCTGTGAAACATTGAAAGTAGTAATCAAAAAGTTGGGAGAAACTTCTTTTGAAACACCTACATGCTCCAGGGGGGTTTCATTTTTTTCATAATTCCTCTTGCTACTTCTTTCTAATAAACAGGTCTCACTTTGATGAAACGTGTAAACTCCTGTGAAATCGCAAAATGGTACAACTGAGCCACTTCATTTGCAGGGTACTTTGAAGGTCTTGTCGTACAAGCTTCGCTGAATATCGTTTGGTGCCCCCACCAAGCCGAACTGACTCAGTTTAGCCACAACTACAAAGGGCCTGAAGCTGAATCAGTTTAGGACCCACATCGATTGGTAACCGACACATTGTTGTGTGGGCAGAATGTGTCGCTCGAAGATTAGGCCTTCCTGGCTGGCTATGCCTCTGCTCTTCTGCACGCATTCTACCTCCATTTAGAATGATGGTAATATTTGGATGCGATTTAGTCTGTACTAATGTTGTCGGGGCTAACGATTTGAAAATTCATCTCCCCTCACCCCAATAGATCTGGTCAGCCAGATAAGCACCGGGAAACGAAAAGGGTATGGGCGGTTGGTTGGATGGGTCGGACGATTTCCCAAGCATTGACGCGGTGGTAATTCCTTGGCCACTCCTACTATACCGCCAAAGAAATTGTTGCTCTACAGAATCCGTACGTGCATAGCCCGTTACATCGAGTACTGGAAGGATACATTCGAAAACGGATTTCCCTAAAGTTGCGCATTATTGCTTATGCTGGGGTCAGCGTCCACCAGGTCAACACGTGATCATTAGCGTTTTACGAGACGCGGCTCCGTGCCGCGTCCGTGAGTGAGTTTACGAAAGTATAAATATCGATCTAGCGAGGGAACTAGGAGGGAGGATATAGCTGAATTAGGCGTCGTGAAATTGTGGCGTGTGCAACCGCACCGTCCTGCTGCACAATACCGTACTCATGGTCGCTAGTGGTCACTCGTGGACATTGGTAGATGCTAGATCGTTATAAGATACTTTCCTAGTCCCTCGAAACGCTGGTGGTCGCTGCTGGATGCTGGTGATCGCTGGTGGACGCTACCAGAAAGTATAGACGGAGTCTTTTAACTTTACAAGCCGTTGCGGATCACATGTACCCTCAGAAGGCATTCACAATCCTGGCTGGGAGCCCGATTATTTAGGTGTGTCCGCTATGTCTGGACGACGAGGGCTTCACAATTCATCAATATGATCAATTAGGCTTTCTAGATGACGTAATATTAAAAGTTGTATAACGGAAACATTCAAAGCCTTTCAAAGAACTAAGTCGAAAATCGAAAGTTGCAGCGTGAATGAAGAAAGACAGACTGACGTCTGTGACCTTCCATTGATAAGATAAGCGACTTTAGTGTGAATGAAAGGCATGTGATAAGTGATCCAGTGACTTCTGGAATGGCATTCCAAGTGGATTACAGTTTTCGATTATTTCAGATTACTTAAATTCAAGATATCTTCCGAGTATTCTGGCGAAATGCAACTTAAGGCTCTGCTCGGTTTTAGGCGCGGAGCGGGAAGAAGTATGAAAGGGCATTTCGCTACTTTGCCACCTTCTTTTACCAGTTCCTTGAACACGTTCCGGACCGCGTGACACACATGGTGTGTCATGATTTCTTCTCTATGCGTGCTTTATTTTATTAATTTGGCTTTTCATTCATGTCTGAAATTGTCAAAACACATTCCCAATCACTGACGATACTTACCTCAAAAGCGGTTGATAAAAATCTCGGAAATTACTGATGAACACTGATGAA